TTCCCCAGCCCAGCCTGGATTCTGGCCAGTTAACCTTCCCATTCCATCAAATACCAGTTAGCCTTCCCGTCCCATCAAATACCAGGTAGACCACGTGGCACTGCCCTGGTCACACAGTGAGTCACACGGTGCTCCCAACCAGACCACGACCTCCCCCCGACCAGAACTGCGCTTCCTTCCTTTAGGGTCCAGCCGGGGAAGCGGCACTGAACACCATGTGCTGGGCAGGATCCGGCCCTGGCTTCTTTATTTCTCTGAACTCTACTTCCTTCGGATGTTTGATGGGTGCTACGGTGTCCATTTCTTGGATAAGAACATCGGGGCTCCGAAGAGTAAAGAGATATAAGCTCAAGGTCACTCACTCAGCCAATAATTACTGTGCAAGCATTCTGAGGCTACCATGTTGACAAAAGACCGGCCACACCCCTGTGAGCTCATGGGCTGGGAGGGAGCCAGTGCCTCTGGTGGTTCCAATATGTGCACGCATGTTGCTAGGACGAGGGGCTGTCAGCATGTGATTTTCAGGAAGCTATAAAACATGATACATGCACCCACAGAATGAGCACATTAATGAGTGAGCCAGCAGGAGGGGACGGCCGATTCCAAGAAGAAATGGGTATTTACAGACTTTTGAAAAAGGAATATAGAATAACATTTTTAGGTTATGTGTAAAACTGGCTAATGTTCTACAAAACAATAAAAATCAGACCTTTGGAGTGATCGTTTCTAAAGACAGAAGTCAGTTACACCTCTCCTGTACAAAAAGGCACAAAAGCTGGCACCTAATTAAATAAAAAGTCAAGCTGAAACCGTTTTTTGGCTCAGTGGTAGAGCGTCGGTCTGCGGACTGAAAGGTCCCAGGTTCGATTCCGGTCAAGAGCATGTACCTTGGTTGTGGGCACATCCCCGGTAGGGGGTGTGCAAGAGGCAGCTGATCAATATTTCTCTCTCATCGACGTTTCTAGCTATCCCTCTCCTCGTCTCTGTAAAAAAAAAAAAAAAAAAAAAAATATATATATATATATATATATATATATATATATATATATAAAATACACACACACACACACATACACATACAAAGTCAAACTCGAATGAATACAATTAACTAACTCTTTAGTGGGCCTTTTTATTTATGTTTAAATATATTTTATTATTTTTTTACAGAGAGGAAGGGAGAGGGAAGCCAGAAACATTGATGACAGAGAGACATCAATCAGCTACCTCCTGCACGCCCCCCCACCACCACTGGGTATGTGCCCGCAACCAAGGTACATGCCCTTGACCAGAATCGAACCTGGGACCCTTGAGTCCGCGGGCTGATGCTTCACATGTGTCAAACACAAGGCCCGCGGGCCAAATCCGTCCCGCCAGGCCTTGCAATGTGGCCCGCACCGCGCTGTCATCACTGCACTCCGCTGCGTTTCCATCACAATGACAGTTTATGACTGTTCAGTAAACCATTCGGCTCGCGATTTAGGCTGGATTTTAGATTTTGGCCCCTTCTCTGATTGAGTTCGACACCCCTACGAGTCTAGCCACTGAGCTAAACCGGTCAGGGCTAGTGGTGCTTTGTAAACAATGCCCCAGTATGTCAATAAAAGGAAGTGATACCTTCTTTTGTTTAATTATAAGTTTCAGATACTTTTTCTTATTAGGAGAAAATGCACAGTCCTCATCCTATATAGGGCAGAAAAGGCTTTTTGAAAAGGAAGTGTTTTCAGCTTGGACATAAAAGATGTGTATGAATGAGCCAGAGAAAGAGGGTATGAAGGAGGCAGTGGCAGGCAGAAGCAAGCATATGGGCCGGCCCCTGCCACACTCTGCAGCCCCGCATTGCACTGCTCTCCCCATCACTCTCTGCAGCAACAGGGTCCTGACAGCTCCTGAAATGAACCACAGGCCCTTTGCATATGCTGCCCCCTCTGCCTGGAACCCTTATTACTCGTGTCCTCCTACCCAAAAACTGGGACAAGTTCCTTTGTTCAACACCATCCTAACCCTGCCCAGAATTCCTTGTCACCATTTGCAATTATACATTGACCCTATGATCGTTGATTAATATCCCTCATCTCCACCACCTGGGAGCTGCCTTGGGGCAAAGTAGGTATTGCCTTTGCTCAATGTAACTCGTGCCCATAGAAGGCATCCGATAAATATGTGTTGGCTGGATGAGAGGAGGAATGGAGGGGGTGGGAGGATGGAGGATGAGGGGATGAGGGAATGAACAAATGGGAAGATGGATAGATGGAAGGAGGGAGAGAGGATGAAAGGTAGATGGATAGATGCATGGGGGAATGGATATATATAAGGAAGGAAGGAAGGAAGGAAGGAAGGAAGGAAGGAAGGAAGGAAGGAAGGAAGGAAGGAGGAAGGGAGGGAGGGAAGAAGGGAGGGATGGAGGGAGGGATGGAGGGAAGGAGGGAGGAAGGGATGGAGGGAAGAAAGAAAGAAGGAAGCAGGAGGAATGGAGGGAGGGAAGGAGAAAGGGGTAGGGAGGGGGGAAGGAGAAAGGAATGAAGGAATGGGGAGGGGGAGGGAGGAAAGAAGGAAGGAAGAAAGGAAGGAAGAAGGGAAAGAAGAAGGGATGGGGAGGGAGGGAGGAGGGAAAGGAAGGAAGGAGGGAGGGAAGGAGAGAGGGAGGGAGGGAGAGAGGAAGGAGGGAGGGGGAGGAAGGAAAGGGGAAGAACATAAGGAGTGTAAAGCAGCCTAGGAGCTGGAGACCGTGTGGCATCTTAGACTTGATCGTGCCCGGCTGGCAGGTTGGAAGAGGAATAAAAGCCCAGACCACCTGGCCTTTCCCACCGTGCCCGGCTGCCTTTCACCGTGGCCCTGGCTCCAGAGCCGTCTCTGTGTGAAAAGCTGGCATGTGCTCCCCAGCAGGCGAGGAGCCTGTGGCCCTTGTCTGAGCCTTTGATGCCTCATCCTGGGAAGCTGGGGCCACGCTGAGAAAACAGCGTGACGGACGCAAGAACTGGTTGGTGGGGCTGGGCTGCTCAGAGAAAGTGTCCTCCTTGGCCTCCCTTCACGGTCAGAGGCCACGGCCTCCGGGCGAAGGGCTGTTCCCGGCCGCCGGCCCTGGGCCCCGCTGGCTGCTCTGGGCAGGGTCAGCTGGTGCCGCCGCGGTCACGTGGATCTGGGCCACAGACCCGTCTCCAGAAGGAGGCCGGGTGGGCGGTTAATGGCCAGGGGGCTGTGGGCTGAGGAGGAGGCTGTGGGCTGGGAGGCTGTCCGCTCCTTCCAGCCGGCTCCCCGGGCGCCCGTAAACAGACCCGGTGCACACGCGGGCGAGCCATTACCGCCAACGTGACGTGCGGGTTGCAAAGGCGCCGGGGTGGCCGGGCCCGGGGCTGCCATTACCGCAGGACCTTTCGCTGAAAAACATTTCTTGGGGCAATTAAATCTTCAGCTGTCTCCTGGCAGAGAGGGCCAGCTTGCATTTTAATTATCCTTAGAAGAGGGAAGTAGGGGAAAGGACACAGGCAAAGGATTGGAAAGTAACAGCCTGCTTTATCAACACAACCATCATCTCAGAAAGTTTCTCCCCGTCCATTCACAAGCCCTGAGCTTTTGGCCCAGGCTCCCAGAAGGGGCCGTCTGGGGGGCCATGGGGAGGTGGTGGGGAGGGGGGGCCGTCTGGGGGGCCATGGGGAGATGGTGGGGAGTGGGGAGCCATCTGGGGGGCCATGGGGAGGTGGTGGGGAGGGGGGGCCGTCTGAGGGGCCATGGGGAGGTGGTGGGGAGTGGGGGGCCGTCTGGGGGGCCATGGGGAGGTGGTGGGGAGTGGGGAGCATGCCTGAGTGGGGGCTGCAGGTCCCCTGTCAGGGAATCGCCGTAGGTATCGCCGTGGCCAAGGTTTGGTCATCGCTACTTTCTACCAGGTGGAAATGATTAACCTAATTTTGCAGATGAGGAAAAGGAAACTGAGAAAATGATTGCTAATAACATGAGCTACTGCAATAAAAAGGAGCAAACTGCCAATACCCACCGCAATGTGCCGGACCTCGGAAACACATTACGCCGAGCCAAATCAGCCAGACCCTAAAGCGTGCCCCCTGTATGGTTTCATTGGGCACAAGTTCCCGAACCAGCAAAAGGGATCCATCAGGACAGAAAGCAGGGAAGAGGCTGTGGGGAAAGGAGAAGGGATTGGCTGAAGGGCAGAGTGAACTTTGGGGAGATTGAAATGTCCTTTATTTGACTGAGGTGGTGCTTACCTAGGCATGTAAATCTATCAAAACTCGCGGACTTTTTAAAAGGAGTGCATGTTATTGTTTGTAAGTTACACCTTAAGAACGTTGATGTGATTGTTATTCTACAATTCATACAAGTTACTGTTTAGCTAGACCTCACTCTTTCCCAGTCCTTATTGTAAGTGCCCTCCCTGTGTGAAGCTGCTCATTTATCCTTCACGTGGGTATTTGAAGGCCCCAGTTTCCAGATGAGGAAACTGAGGCACAGAGAAGTTAAGAAACTTTCCCGAGGGAGGCAGAGCCCGGGTTCAAATCCAGACAGGCTGCCTCTCGAGCCTTATAGCTTTGAAGGAAGTTGGGGCCTTCACAACCTGACAAAACGGGCAGAGGGGAAATTCACTCAACAACTATTTCTCCAACTACTGCTTTAGGTCACACTGTGGACACAGGGCACAACAGAAAAGTCCTGGTCCTTTCAGGGGGAGGGAGCAGGTGAGGCAGGGATTGCCAAATAATCACAAGCATGAATGTGACCTGGCCGGTGTGACAGCTGGTTGGCCATCATCCCATACACGGAAAGGTCACTGGTTCGATTCCCAGTCAGGGCACATACTCAGGCTGTGGGGCAGCTGATCAATGTTCTCTAACATTGACATTTCTCTCTCTCTCTCTCTCTCTCAAATCAATAATATATGTTGATAATACACACACACTCACCCACTCATATATATATATATATATATATATATATATATTTTTTTTTTTTTAATGAATGTGAACTTGCAGTTCATGATAAGCGCTCAGAAGGGGAGGTTCCCGGAGACCCAAAGGCACATGCACCCTGGGAGTTTGTCCAAGACCACACCCTCCAGTGGAAACAGAGCTGCTGGGGCAGCCTCCAGATTCCTGAGCCACTTGCTGGGAACCCAATTTCCCTTCCCAGCTGCGGGCTCTGCTGATTCAGGACAACCTTTACCATGTGGTCTTTCCAGTGGGCAGAGGCCCTTTGAAATCGTGCCTGCCCTGCTCTTAGCACCTAGAGCTTCGAGCTCAGCTATGCCAGGAATGCCCCCTGCGCCCGCCACCCAGGGAGTCGCATTCCAGTGCAGTGGGAGCAGCCTGCTGGCTGGCAGCTGGGAGCCGGGCCCCTAAGGAAAGACCCTGGCCTTGAGCCAAGCACCCAGGCCCTACGGAGACTCCGTGCGACCTTGGCTCCAGCAAATGGAACAGGATTTTTTGGCAGTGAAGGTTAGACCTGCCCACAATGCCCACAACCTTGGCTGATAGGCACCCGGGTACATTAGCCAATTTATTCCTCTCCGTGAGCTCTGGACCACCCCCGGGCTCCCAGGGGAGCACAGAGAAGGGGGATGACCTGCCAAGATCACACCCCAAGAATAGACTTGGCATCTGGCTCCTCCCTTGACATCCAGGGCCTCCCAAATCTCACCTCAGCCTCACCTTCACCGAGGGACTCAGAGGACCTATCAATCACCACTTAGTGAATGTGTTTTTGGAAGCCAGACTCTTTGGATTCGTTTTCTTGGCTCCCCTGCTTTCCAGCTGACCTTGGGCAACTTCCTCAACCCCTCAGTGTCAGATTCCTCCTCTGCAGAGCGGTGCTCGCGGCAGGACCTTCCCGGAGGGCTGCTGGGAAGATCCACGGAGATGAGACAATAACATAAAAGTGGTTACCACGGGGTCCAGATGGACAGAAAGTGGTGGCTGTTCTTATGGCATGTGTCTTGTTTTTACACAAATGGGCTCATATCCAACTTTGTGTCTGGGGCACCTTCCCAAATACCTTGTTCTCCTAAACACCTTCGTGGAATTCTTATCTTCATTTGTTCATTCGCCCTTTCATTTGCCAAACGTGTGTGTAGCATCAGCCTCTTACACCCCCAGCAAGGACACACAACACGTTAAGTCCTTGCTCTTGGTTCTCATAGGGAGACAATTAATAAGCACACAAATAAATAATAGAGATCATTTCACCTGAGGAGTGCTACGAGGAAAATAAGGTGGTGCAGAGTGATGGGGAGACTGGATGGCGAGAGAAAAAGCCATCGAAATGCAGCGTTCTGATTCCCCCTGAGATGGCATTCAGACTGCCACCAGCAACAGGAGAAGCGGGGAGGCCAGGGAGAAACCGGGGCTGGAATATTCCAGGCAGAGGGAAGAGCAAGGGCGAAGGTTGTAAGTTTGGACTGAGCTCAGTGCCCTTGGACGGGAGGTAGAGAATGAGCGTTTTGGACATGATGGTGGAGGTGCCAGCTGGGGCGCAACGGGTAGGGCCATGGTGAGAGCTCGGCTTCTATCCTGAGAGAAACCAGGAGCCGCTGGAGCAGGGGAGACGCCTGCTCTCACACGAACTTCCACAAACCACTCTGGCTGCTGGGGGGGGAATGAACTGGAGGGGCACTGCTGGCAGAATGAGGGCGGGCACACATCCCCCCTTGGTGGAGGTTTGGGCTGTTTCTGTTTGCTCCCTCTTTGTAAACAGTTTTGCAACAGAATTCTTATCTTGCACAGAAACTCCTGCAAGTGGGATGGTCGGGTTGAGCACACGAACATTTTTTTTTTTTATAAATCGTGTCCAGATTGCCACACTGCCTTCCATTGCTCCGTCATGGTGCAGGCAGCAGTGCCGTTCCAGCTGCACTTTCTCCACCTGCTTTGGCTTTGCTCCTGGGTATACACACTCCCAACCTCGCCAGCCCCAGCCCACACCCCCCAGTCCTGAATGCAATCATATTTCTTATTAAAGAGAAAAGCGTAGAATCAGGCTAAGTGGCTGAGAAAACTGCCCAGAGGCCACCTGTTCCAGGGGGAGCCATAAAAAGGCCTCCTTCACCCCAACAGGACCAATTTACCCTCTTCTTCCAGCCACGGGGACCTTGCCTTTTTTTTTTTCCCCCCTCCAGTTCAGCCACAAAAACAAGGCACGGCACTGAGATGGCAGTGAGAACAGGCCCTGAGTTTACAAACGATCAAGGACCAGGAATGGAGAAAGCTGGGATCCTCAGAGTCCTCTACCTCCCACCCCTCCGGGGCCACACCAGGTCTTGTCAGTGCCCCCTAGTGGCCACCACCTGCCAGGCCGCCTCCAGACTTGCATTCCATGCCCACTCCAGAGCCCAGACTTTCCCTTTCATGGCTGGCCTTTTCAAAGAAAGAATTTCCCTTTAATCAGCAGCCACGGCATCTGCCGCAGAGTCGGAGCATAATTCTACTATCCGCTCATCACTGAGGGGTTATTTGTGCTGTCTGCTCGGGAGCAGGGGAAGGTGGCGGAGACTTATAACGAGCATGATTTTAATCTGGGCATTTGGAGATGCTTTTGAAGAAGGTTTATGTTATCTCTCCCAGACTGACCTGGCGAGTTACTTAATTGGGAGAGGATTTCGCAACATACTGTTCCTTAATATTTTATCTCTTAAGGCGAGCAGCTTCTTTTTCCCGTAGCAACATAGATGGATAGCAAACGCTTTGAAGCAAGTAGTCATTATTATTCATTAACTGCTGATGAGGTGGCAGCTGTCAAATTAGACTCATTGTCTCATTCTATCTTCTCAGCAACTCAATAATGGAGGTATGGATTTTGTAAAATTTTTGCAAAAGAGGAAACCCAGGCATCGGGGAGTTCACTTACCCAAGGTGACGAGCTGGTCAAGGGCAGAACCGGATGCCTTCCTCTGTCGTCATGCTTTGCGCCTGCCGCAGGGCCGTGGGCTGTCTCACGTTAGCCAAGCTGGAGTCATGTGACCCACAATTCCCGTCGCACGTGGTGCTGGGCTGACATAGGCCACGTGCAACATGTTGCTCCAGGTTGCCAGGGCAGGAGTTAAGAAGCCACCACCGTGTTCTTAAAAATATTTTTATTGATTTCAGAGAGGAAGGGAGAGGGAGAGAGAGTTAGAACATCAGTGATGAGAATCATTGGTCTGCTGCCTCCTGCACGCCCCATACCAGGGATTGAGCCTGCAACCCAGCATGTGCCCTGACCAGGAATCGAACCGTGACCTCCTGGTTCATTGGTTGACACTCAACCACTAAGCCACGCCAGCCAGGGGCCACCATCGTTTTCTGCGCTGAAGGTCAGTGCCCGGTGCCAGGCAGAGAGCCACTCATGCATGTCGGCGTGACCTGCTGTCCGCCTCGTTGGCATGGGGCCGATGCTCAGGTTCGGAGCTCCCACCAGGCGGATCTTCCTGAGCTTCTCCGAGTCTGGGGCCAGGAGCACCGGCTCCCGACAGGCCGTTTTTGCATTGAGGCTGGTGACAGATAGATGCAATTTCCCGTTTGTCCTTGCTCTCGCCCACAGCGGCTCTTCTTTCTGCTGACCCATAGAACCTTCCAGCTCACACTAAATGCAGGGGCGGCAGCCAGCACAGGCAGCCCCACCGGCTCCCACACTGCTGAGGCCTCAGCCCCACGGTGACTCTCTCCTCCCAGACCACTCGTAAGGGCTCTGGGTCCCTGATGGGACTCTCCCTGGGGCACGGGGATTGGAGGTTGATGTAGACAGTGACCAGCTCTCCTCCACCTAAACTTGACAGATTTAGCAAATAAAAATACAGGCCATTCTATCAGACTTGAATCCGCACCAACAATGAACACCTTTTTTAGAGTAAGTACATCTTATGCAGTATTTGGGACATGCTTATACTAAACACGTATTTGTTATTTATCTGAAATTTAAGTTCCACCGGGAATAGGCATCTGTACTGTATCTGGCCACCCTATCGGTATCCCCCACAGATGCCCTCCCAGCCTCGTCCATTTGCCAGAACTGACAAGAAGAACATGCAACCAGCGTGTGGGAGCCTAGGAGGATGGAGCAGCACCGGTGAGCTTGGTCCTTGCAGGACCTGAGTCTCGCCCTCCTGGGCTTTGCTGAAAGGCTGGGGAGTCCCCGAGGGACCCCGAGTCCACACGCTGATCATCACCACCTTAGGATAAAGTTCCAGTTCTTTCTTTTTAAAAAAGTATGTATTTTAAATGTTTCATTTATTGATTTTTTAGAAAGCAGGGGTGGAGAGACAGGGAGAGAGAGAGAGAGAGAGAGAGAGAGAGAGAGAGAGAGAGAGAGAGAGAGAGAGCTGTTGTTTCACCTATTTGTGTATTCATTGGTTGATTCTTGTATGTGCCCTGACTGGGATCGAGCTGCAACCTTGGCATATAGGATGATGCTGTAACCAACTGAGCTGCCTGGCCAGTTCTCACATGAGGCATTAAGGGCCCAGCCTGCCATGCACCTCACCTCTTGCCTACCTCATAAGACCACCTAGAAAGATGATATTTCCCCAAAGACAATCTCTTCTCACCGGCAGGGCTTCACCTTTACTCTTCTCCTGGCCTGCAATGCCTCTCCCTCCTGTGAATATGCTTTAAACTCCTGTTCACCCTTACACCTTTGAGATCACCTCCTCCCTGAAGCCTTCCTTGACCACCACAGTCAGAGAAGGCCTTTGGGCTTCATTCACACTGAGATTACAATGGAATCATAGCTTATACCTGTTTAATATGCTCTAAGACAAAAAAAAAAAAAAAAAAAAAAAAAGACGATAAATTTTGGCACCAGTGGTTCAAAGGATGTGAGATACAGGGGAGAATCTGTGAGAATCTTTTTTTATTTTTTATTATGTGTGGGACTTTAATGGACATTCAGGTTTTTCACTTACAGGTGTCAAAAAAATAGCATGACACAACTATATTGGAATGCAGTGTTAGGCACATTCCAGCATAATGTAACCCTCAGTCCCTGGGCCTCTCATCCTACAACTACTGATAAGGCTAGGCTTTCAAGATCAAAGGTTTTGGTTTTTGTGCAGTAGCAGCACAGAGGCCAGGAGTGAGCGGTCGGCAGACCAGACTGGTCTGAGGTGTGATTCCAGCCCTGCCACTTCCTCTTCTACAAACCTGAGCAGACTGCCAGCACCTCGGTGGCTCGGGCCCCTCATCTGTAAACCGGGAGGAAGAAGAGCATCTTCTCCGTTGGGTCTCTGAGGGGACAGATGAGCTTGCAACCTGCCAGGGGCCTGCAGCAGCGCCTCACACCCACCAGCGGTTCTGGGCGGCACTGCAGGGGAGGGAAGGCAGCGGGCGGCTGCAGAGAACCGCCCCCCCGACTCCCAGGAGGCCAGGCGCGCGGGTCTCCCACCCGTGTCTCCAGGGACATTCCAAGTCCCTTTTCGTTGTCCAGGAGTTTCACGCTCCAAGCAGACTCCATGGCATAGCCCCCTCAGAAGAATGAACCAGCGGACGGGTCTGGAGTAAAGTCCCATCTGCCATTTCCAGTCCCTGCAGCGTTGCTCATCTCACCTGTCCGATGGAGATGATGACGCCCACCGCGCAGGGCACCTGTGCTCATACGTTTGACACCTGGCTACTTTAGATTGCCTTACTAGTCATACTGCTGGTACCACTCTGCTGCATTTTCCGTTTGTGTGTGGTTCTCCCCACGCCTGGGAACCCTTCAGGATGGGCATTCGTTCCAATTAGTCCAGGTTTCAAGGTCAAGTCTATGCTCAAGATCTAGGAGGCATCCACATATGGGGAAGGAAGGAGGGAAGGAGGGAGAAAGGAGAGAAGGGAGGGAGAGAGGGAGGGAGGGAAGGGAAAGAAGAGGGGGAAGGAAGGAATGAAGGAAGGAAGGAAGGAAGGAAGGAAGGAAGGAAGGAAGGAAGGGAGGAAGGGAAGGAGGGAGTAAGGGAGGGAGAAAGGGGAAAGGAGGGAAGGAGGGAGGGAGGCAGGGAAGGAGGAAGGGAAGGAGGGAGGGAGGGAGGGAGGGAGGGAGAGAGGAAGGGGGAAGGAGGGAGGAAGGAAGGGAGGGAGGGAGGGAGAGAGGGAGGGAGAGAGGGAGAGAGGGAGGGAGGGAGGGAGAGAGGGAGAGGGAGGAGGAGGGAGGAAGGAAGGAAGGAAGGGAGGGAGGGAGGGAGGAAGGAAGGAAGGGAGGGAGGGAGGAGGGAAGGAAGGAAGGGAGGGAGAGAGGGAGGGAAGGAAGGGAGGGAGGGAGGGAGAGAGGGAGAGAGGGAAGGAGAGAGGGAGGGAGGGAGAGAGGAGGGAAGGAGAGAGGGAGGGAGGGAAGGAAGGAGAGAGGGAGGGAGGGAGAGAGGAAGGAAGGAGGGAAGGAGGAAAGAAGGAAGAGAAGGGGAAGGAGGGAGGGAGGGAGGGAGGACCATCCCCTTTCTCGGGCCCCCAGCTTGTCTGACCAGGGTCTGATCAGAGGATTGGATCAACAGCCCCTGCTCACTCTCATACCTCTTTCTGGAATCACAACTTAGGTTTCTAGCTGTCTCATTCATTATTACATGGTGCAGTGCGGGGTAATTATACGCCGTGGTATAATTTGTTATAACCTGGGCTGAGGCCTGTAACTGTATAATTTATTATTATACAGCACCATGCTGAATAATACGAAGAGTATATAATTTCTCTCAGGCTTTCGAGCAGCCTAACCTGTAATCCAAGTGCAGCACGTGGACTGTGTGGACAAGTTAGTGTTTCTACGGAAACCTCAGCTTGGAGGTTGCTCCACTACTGACTTCTTCCCTGGGGCCTCGACAAACACTCCGGCTGCGAGTTGCCAGGTTCCTGGTGTTCCCAGGTGTGCCCGAGGCTGGAAGCTCACCTGGCCCAGGCTGAGCGGGTGGGACATCGATCGGGTCACAGAAAAGGAGCCCAGAATTGTTACCTGCCGAGTGAACACGGGGAGGCCACCGCTTGCCTGGGAAAATGCCGGCAGCAGGTGCAGAACTGCGATCAAAACAATTCTCAGGGGGAAAGGGGTGTGAGGGGTATGGAAAGAGACTGGATAAAATCTTACACAGTGGTCGGGGGATAAAGGCATGGGGTGGGGAATCAGGAGGAGGGGAGCTTTGCGGGGGGGGGGGGGGGGAAGAGGAACGCCTGTAATAATCTGAACAATAAAGATTTACTTAAACACACACACACACACACACACACACACACACACACACAGTGTCCTGGGTGCTCAGTGGGGCGCCTGCTTGCAGGGTCTCAGCTCAGCGCGGGTGGCTGGTAAAGCTTATGTTCTGCTCTGAGCTCAGGGGACACATCCTTGAACCAGAAAAGGTCCTGGTGGAACTCTCGTTCTGCAAGTCCAGAGCTTACACCTCTCACGTTCCTGTTTCTCCAGGGGTGGTCCCTGGGCCTGCCTCACCGGAAGCTGTTTGGAAATCCAGACCCTCAGCCACTCTCCCTGCAGCATCCGTCTGCGGCTCACAGGCCCCTGGGGATTCAGACGCACTGGGCACTGCTGGCGCTGCCACCAGACTTAGGAAAACACGCTCCCCTCCAAAGACCCCCCAGTCCCCGAGCTTCAGTGCAGACCTCCCTCTCCCTGGGGACCTGCTTCTTCTTGTTTAAAGAATTTATTCTTTTCCTGGTCACACATGTTTGCTGTGAAACGTTTGGAAATAAAAATAAATAAACAAACAAACAAACAAACAAATAAATAAATAAATAGCTCACAAAGAAGAAAATGGAAATCACCCAGAATTCTACCATCCAGAGATGACACTTAATATTTTAGTGACTAATTCATCGGAGACTTTTTCTACATACGTGTACCTCTTCTGAACAAAACTTCAAGGAAGAGTGGAATAGCGTGGAGCAGTGGTTTCACACATTCTGTGAGCATCCATCTGAAAGGCTCGCTCTGACACACATGCACACATGGCTGCCCCTCCCCCCCCCAGCTTCTCACCTGAGGGCCTGGAGCCGGCCTGGGGATTACCCTTCATGTGGAGCTACTGGTCCAGGCCCGCGTTGTGGGAAGAGCTGGTGTGGCTGGTGAGGTCCCGGACTCTGGGATTTGGTGTCACAGGTTGGAATCCTGACTAGACCCCCTGCCGCCCGCCTGCAGGGGAGTCTCTGGGCTCTGGCTCCTACGAGGACTATGTGCGCCTCCACCGATCACCGAAGGGGCTGAATGAGTTCATGGAATAAGTAAAGCATTGATTCTGATGAAATGCAGATCACTGTATAGTCGGATTTTCTTAAACAATGGCTTACAAATCTGTTCCCAGTCAGTGTTCTGCGTGTTTGTTTTCACAGGTTGAAGGATTCTCTTTCAAACCGATGCGCTCACCAGGTCCCTCGTGGCCGATGGATATAGTATACACATGGCTGCAATGCGCGTTCTCATGGACAAATCACGGAGCGCCTGCCCGATGATCTCCTTGGGACAGAATGTTCTAGATGTGAAATTGCTGAGTCCAACGATATGAACATGGCTAAGGGTCTTGATAAGCTTTATTAAATGGCCTTTCAGAAAGAATTATACTGATTTGCAAATCCATCAGCAGCGCCCGAGAGCATCCGTACAACAGTTTTTGAAACCACGCTGATATTTTGTTTGTTCACTGGAATTGTTTTGACGGCTACTGAAGTTGAATATCACCCCCTCCGATATCTTAGGGTTAAGAAGTAATGTGTTTTAATCCCTCTAAGCCCGTGTTTATGTGAAAGCAGCCAGCCCTTTCCCCTCTAATGAACCGACTGCAACTTGGCATCGCGCCACGCTGCTCGCCCGGTGGGCGCAGAGGCGTCGGAGCACCGGGAACAGCTACCGGGTTAAATCCTACCTGCGCTGCCGGTAACACACCTCCCACTTAATAGGCAGGTGTGGACGGGGCAGGCGTGAAACAGGAAGGGGGTGAACAGATGGAGAGAAGTCGTTTGTTCAACAGAAATTCCTCTGTCATCT